AGGAGGAGGAGGAGGAGGAGGAGGAGGAGGAGGAGGAGGAGGAAGAGGAGGAGGCGGCGGCGGCGGCAGCGGCAGTAATGGACGATTCCAGTTTTCATCTTTTCCTGTTTGCCAAAGTTGAATACAGAAAATAAATATGTGCTTACTGAGGAGCTGAAAATAAACACTTTGGCAGTCTGAAGTTGACTGAAGGCACAATAGCAACATATGAAACTTCTGACATCCTTCAAAGAGATCTCATCAGGAACATGACTTACCAGGACATTTTTCAATTTGTCTAGATGTCTGGTTTCTAGACAAAAAACAGAAGAAACGTAGCTGCATACCTAACCAATTACTGAACATTTTTCTCACCAGCTTTCCTATTTCAAGCACCTTGATTTAACAGACAATTTGGCGGGGAAGGGTGGTCCATTAAACCTGAATGTCCATTAAATATGAAACCTATGCCATTCTTGATGCCAGACTTAGGTACGGTTGAAGGGCTGTTTTTATCCTACCGCTCAGTCAGCAAAGCAAGAGTCAGTGGAGCAGGAACTGGAATGGGAGAAAGGAATCATGACTGCTATGCTTCACCACTGCTTACGCTTATTTGCATCATATCAATGGCTTTTATGAGTTAAATGAAGCCAGAACAGCTTTTTTATTTTTATTATCATGCTCACCCACTCACTTGATTTTCTCAGCATCTTATCTCCCTCCCCATCAGGCCTCCATCATCATTCCAGTGCCTCCCCAGCCTCCTTCCCTTGACTCAGCCACCATGGCCACCACTCCAATCTGCTTCCTGCTGTGCCCAGCACTTTCCCTCTCTCCCTGAGGAAGCAACTGGGGGAAAAACCTATTTCTGCTAAACGGCCTGCTAACATATACAGTATGTATCTTCAATGAGTCCTGATTTAAATAGAGAGAAGAAGACAGGGATGGAGGAGGAGGAGGAAGAGGAAGCAGCAGCAGGGGCTAATCTCTTTGCAAAAGGGACCGCTGCAGTTTATCAACTTTTGCAACGTTAAATTAAACATTAAAGGAAATAGGGGACAATCCTCATCATATTCTACATCTCATTTTGATTGCTGATGAAATGATCCCATTAGTAACTACCAGAGCAGAAGCATTAGAATAAAAATTTGTAATCCAAGAAATGCATTCAGCAGGAAATTCATTTTTTTGTCATAACTTGTTCCAAAAACTTTATTTTCACCATACTATATCAATGGCTTTTTATGAATCTAATAAAACCAGAACAGATATTTCATCTTTATTAGCTTACAATGTCAATATGCCCACCAGTAATCTAATATTGTCAGAGGCATGGCATCCTTTAATAAAATCTGACTTTGATGACTTTGATTTTTACCTTCTGTAAACTTTGTGATAAAGCGGCTCTTGAAATCTTGGCCTCGTTTAACAAAAATGTTAGTGATAGCTTACACAATTCATAAGGACCTTTCGCAGTTTCATAATACCCATGATATAAGTCTCATAGGATGATGTTGGTAGGTCCCCTTTTTCAAAAGATATCTCAGATAAAATAAATGCCAAGTTCTCATTTTTATATCACTTTGTGAGCATCCCATCCAACTGAGAGGTCTTTCTAGATTTCGTTGTTTTAATAGTGTTAAAAATTCCTATATTGTTAAAGGTGTGGCTAAATCTTTAAATGGGTATCCAACATTTCTGGAAAATTTATTCCATTTTAGAAAGCATTATTTGCTCAACGAATACATTTGCAGAATATAGGTCTGCATAAAACTCCATAAATTGGGAATTTTTCATATAATTAAGTATAAAATATCCTAAAGCATAGCTTCTTATAAATATTGGGGCATCCATGAATGAACAGGATCAACAGATTCAAGATGGTGGCCATGTCCTACTATTTCAAATGAGAAGCCAATAGTTTAACAGATTTTTCTCCTTTCCCAATACAATTAGTATTCAAGACATATAAATGATCAACCTTCTATTTAACCAATCTAAAAGCATAATACAAACTGTGATTTCCAGCATATATGTTCAAAGTTTCATTTACTTCTTTTTCTTACTTTCTATAATGGGAGTCTCTCATTTTTTCCTTCAAGAAGCATAAGCTTTCATCTTAACATGTATACAGGCTTTAAATGCATCTCAAAATAATCACATATGAATCAATCCTCTGTTTGTTTGTGTTGATTGACAAAATAACAGTAACTTGTTCAAATATTACCTTCCAGCTTGATCTTTTTTCTTTAACCTCAATGGCATTACACTGGTGTATGATAAGAAACTGCAGTTTAATCACTATAACATTTCTCAGCTAATTTAACCATTGATCAAGATATTAAAAATAGTCTGAATATGTGCCATGTGGGGATAATAAAAGTATTTTCCTGCTTGTTTGGATTTAATTGTTTCTCTATGTCCGTTACATTAAATTCACAAATGTTTGCATGGACAACATTCCATCTCTGGTGGTTTTTTCCCCCTTAAAATCTTGATTCTTATCCGCAGCTAGATCCAAAAGTTTTATCCATATAAAAATCCTCAGCTATAATTATAGTAATTTATAATCATTTGGTTGACCTATGAACAAAATAGGGTTGCAAAACAGTTATGTAAAGTTTCAGGTTTATCTTTAATTGGAACATCATAATTTATCCAGCACGCCCAAATCTAATGGCACTGATTTTTCAGCAGTTCCTGGGCTACTGATATAAGAGGGCAGTAAGGCTTAAACAGAGAATTAAGAATTCACTCAGTGTTGGTCTTTACTGTCACTCTGCCTGCTCTTTGTCTAAGACAGTGTTGTCCAAACTTGGCCACTTTAAGATGAGTGGACTTCCAATCCCCGAATTTCCCCAGCCCCCACGCCTGCTTGGGGATTCATGGGGGTTTAAGATCCTCTATTCTAAAATGGCCATAATTGGGAA